AAAAATAGTTATATTATAACCTCTTTTTTATATTATAACCTATTTTTTTATACGAACATTTTTCATCATAGACAATAATGATGATATAAATTAAAATGTTACCAGATAAGATAGATTGTATTTCATATATTCTTATACCACCAATTATTACACGTACAGCACACACGCGCGCGCACACACACGCACATACACTCATTTAATGACATATATGTAATAGGAATACAAGAATCAAATTGACTCAATTTACGTATGTACTTAAATACATATAAAATGGGAGTATATAATATTTAACGACAAAAAATTATAAAAATAGGAAAATAGAAAAAAGAACAAAGATTTTTTTTTATCATTTTAATATTTGAAATTCTCCATTTCATACAAATTAAGTGGGGGCATTATAATACAAACTTAAAATATATACATCGATATTTCGTGAAACTTCTCAAATAACTATGCAACTCATCCATTTAATCCATAATCTCTAGATTTCTTTCCATTATTATTGATTTATTTATTTATTTTTTTATGTTTTTTTATTTCGCTCGAACCTACATCATGTATACTGTGCAACGAAACTGGCAAGTCGTCTGAATAAATATTTTTTTTTTATAGTTTAATTAGCCGTCAAAATTGATACGACCAATCTGTTATTTTTAATAAACAGCATCGATAATATATAAATGGAGAATCGGATACAACCTCATTTTAGTCAGTTCGACGAATAGAACTAGAAGTTTCTCGACGAAACACTCTGTCCTGATTATCGATGAAATGACAGGCACTAATAGCGAGTGTCAATATTATTTTATTCAGATCGATTATTTGTATCAATTGCTCGAAAATAACGATCTTTGCTGTAAAATTGTGTTTCAAATAGACTTTCCTTTTTTTTTCCTATTTTTCAATGACCAACATTTATTTTCCATTTTTTACTAATATATGATCACATCTTCGACCAAGAAATGGCGAAAATAACGGATATACTGATCATTTTTCGAGTACAATACAAAAAAAGGATCGATATAACGGACAGATTAAGAATCCTTACGATTATTGGAGGACAAATGGCAAACATTTGTATTCTCGCCAAGTTGCTGTACTTATTATTGCCCAAGTGGGACGGAAGTCACGGATGATTTGGCACTCCTGTTTTATTTTCTAACGCCTATTCACCTGTGCGATCCTTTTCTATTTTTCCTTACGTGCCTTCTTATCTTTTATTTCATTTGTCTTTTAATAAATAAAAATTAATATATATCAAATCGCAAGAATATATATAAAGAAAAAAAATCATTTTTTTTTATTATCTTCTATTTTTTCCTATTTTATATTTAATTTTAAATTTTATTCTTATTAAATTTTAAGAAAAAATTCAATAAAAAGTGAATAAATTTTAAAACAATGTTATGCAAGTTTATCAAAAACAATGGAATATAGTTAATTGAAGTGAGAATCGTATAATTTAATCATGTAAGCAGAATATGACAAAAAAAAATAAAAAAGAACAGCCAGGAAAGAAGTGAATCCGCATTGGGACGAAAACTTGTTTTCCACACACAGCACGTGCGCAATTCGATCGTTGAGTCGATCCGATTCTCCATTATCACGAATCGCCATGTTTACCGTATATATATACGCTTTTCATTTTTTTTTCTTTTTGTTTTTGTTTTCTTTTCTTATGCACAACCCACATCAGTTATTGTTACTCGTTACTGTAAATTGTAAATGTAAATTGATTTTTTTTGTCCAGACTTAAAATACATTTTATACATACTCCGTTTATATTCTTGTGTAGTCGTCACCATAATCGTCGTCGTATGAATTGTCAAGCAGTAGTCGTCATATAAGAAAAAACACAATATGTATTTATTATTACATATGTATATCGTATTGATTTCATTGTAAAAGCCATCGACTTACGCTCTTTTTTTCTTCGTTCGACAAAGAGAACATCATCATTCTTTTTACATATTAATTATATTTTCATCACGCTCACAAGTTTCCATTCTAACCTCTTCTTGTTTCTTTTTTTTCATGTTCCGAGTAGCATCTTTATAATTTTTTTTCTTTGTACGATATTTTCACACGTACACATTTAACACGTACGGTTCTTATGTTTTTTTTTCTTTTGCTCTCGAATAAAACAAAAGTACGCGGGGAAACGGCCGGAACTATGCGTGAAACAGAATCGTAGCAAGAAACGGAGGAAATTGTTTCGCGCAATAACGTTTCGGTTCTATGTGTGCCTCTCGCCGATAATCACAAACCGAAGTGTCCACTGTAGAAAAGAAATTGTCTTTTTCTCTTTTTTTTTTCCCCTACTTCTCATTCTTTTTCCACCGGTATACTTTCTTACTATTCTAACCATATAATGTTTCGTCAACGATCATACCAGGCACGTTTTGATTTTGGAACACGAAGAGATCTTTTCTCTCTACGTATAACAATGATTATATTTACGGGGAATATCCATGGACTCGGTTGTGTTGCAACATATATCTCTTTAGACATTAATTAGGCATTAGATATAATATTTAATTCGTTTCATGAAAATATTTCAGTAGTAGCTGAAAACATAACCTTAACATCACAATTAAATCTTAGATCTAGAATTTTTTTTTACTGTTTTAAACGAATTTCTTTATTCTATACTTAGCGAAAGTGAACATTAATTAAAGTAATTAGGGGATTATACGTATATATTATAGAAATCATTAGGAATGAAAAATTTCACTAGAATAATGATTTTATTGAATAAAATTGGAATATTTAAAATATATACTATATTAAGTGACAAATTCATGTTTTAGTGAACGATCCCCTAATAACTTTGTGATATATTTTAGAACACTCGCGACTATTATGGGACATTGTGTTGCTAAAATAATTTATATACGCTCTTTATAAGGCAACAGGCACACGTTATCTAGATGTTTACTATAGTTTGATTAAAACATTTTGCATATGATATGATTGCATGAATAATTATTTGATTTACATATTTGTTTTGCGTTTACACAACACAAACAATTAGCCAAATCAAATTCAGATAATTGATATTAATTATGTTTTTTAAATATACGAATGAATTTTTCGTACTATTTTAATTGTTAATGTTTTTAATTATAAATCTTCTATATAAATTTAGGATCAGCTATTTGACATCGATAAAATATATCAATTTAAAATTGATAATTCGCAACATTTTTCGTGTACTTAGCATTTAGATGAAAAATGTTCCCCGCTTACAGAAGATACGACTTTTTTTTAACAATTTAATTATACTTGAAGGTAAATATTGATCTTGAACCGCCGCAACATTGCACGTCCCAGTCTAACACTCGAGGATAATGTAATCGAATGATTAACATATTTATGTAATAACATTAACATTAACATTAATAATAATAATAATAATAATAATAGTAATAATAATAATAATAATAATAATAATAAAGAATAATAATAATTATCATACTAGCAATAATAATAATAATAATAATAATAATAATTAATAATAATAATAATAATAATAATAATAATAATAATAATAATAATAATAATAATAATAATTAACGGAAGAAAAAATGAGGGGGAAAGAAAAAGGAAGCAAAATAGAATACAATCAACAGAGGAAGAAAGACAGAATAATAAATCTGTTTCTTTCCCCTACGTATATCATAGTTGTTTCGATATCGGAGAGAAATATACATATTTCTTCTTCTTCCATTTATAATCATTTATTATCGAATTAAATCGTTTTCCTCCTGTCGATAATGTTCCACGCAGTTATTCGTCGCACTTGCCAACAATATTTAAATATTTTTTTCTTTTTTTTTTCCAGTTTTTTGCCTTTGTATCATATATATATGTATATATATGTATAATATATATACATACATACATATATATATATATATATATATATATATAGGTAATGATTCCAAATATAACTATATAATGAATACATGAGCCTTTGTCAGGGGAAGCAATGCAGTTGTCGTCAATAAAAGTCGCGTATTATACATATATCTATCGACGGGATGATCCATTCTATGGGACCATTTAATCATTTTATATTGTGTATTTGTATTTGCGCGTATATATGTGATTCTTTTTCTATTTTCGCTTATCGTTTGCTTATTCGTCAAATTTCTTTAAATGTAAAGAAAAGAGAAAAAAGAAGGGAAAAGAGAAAACAACAAGTTTCGTTTTCTTTTCTATATCGTTGTCGTTCCATTTCCCCTGTTCCTTTCATTTTTCGAAAATAATGGAAAGAAAATGCTCAAAATCATTAAAAAACAATATTGGCGATAGCAGCTGGGAGGACAACGAAAATTTCCAAGCTGCCTTTTATACATTTCAAGTTACTATATTTTATAAATCAATTGAATCATTCGATCATGTGAAGTGATATATATTTAATAAGCATTTAGAGAATGTAACTTTCTCTGATAGTATGCAATAATTTTTGTATTTCTCGATAATCGCATTGAAGTACCAACCTCGTAATCGTTTCATAGACAAAAGGCATCCATCGTCGTTTTTTATCGTTAGAACCAACGAAAACAATTTCGATACGTCATTCATGGTGAGTACGAGATCAGTTCCTATTTCTTTATTATTACTATTTTTTTTATATTTTCTATTTTTTTTTATTTTGTTATATTTTTTCTTTACAAACTAACTCTTAGTTTGATATGGGTAAGAGAAATCGCGTTTCTTCGTTCTCCTTTATTCTAATTCTCTTCACCGTTCCAAAGTAATATTCATGGATAATTTTTAATGAGTATATTTTATATACTTCTCTCTTTTTCGCGTATCACGAAGTTTCCTTTCTTACGTTTAATTCGATTTTGTCCCTTGCTCGAGCACCTTCATGAATAATAAAAGATTTTACAATTGGAGAAATTTCTCAGTAACTTCGATGTGATGGAAATGAGGATAATCGAACGAAAAAAAAAATCAAGTATCATTTAATTCTAAAATCGTATAATTAACCGATATCTACATTATTAATAATACCTACTATAGGTAATACAAAATAAGTGTTCGTTCAATTTATTTTGTTTCAGTCAATTCGGAAACATTACGATGTGTTCGAGCAAAGTTTAAAGTTACCCAATATCTATGTATATTTCTAAGGCTATTCCTGTACAAAATGATGTCACATGCTTAGATCATCAAGATTAATGAATGTTATGTATATACAAAAAATTACGACTTCTTCATGTCTTAACCTCTCGAATGTTTAAACGTTATTCTTTTTGCTACAGATACATGCATACATACATTAACCCAAATTCTATGATAGGTTATGCAACAATATGTATCCTTCGTATTGTATATTTGCAAAAATCAATTTACATATATCGAAACGTTAGCTCGTCGGACGCATCATTATAATTAATTAAAACTTAAATTTTTTGATACAATATATGATAATGTTTACGATTAATTTCGATGCATGTGGAAAGATTTCAAAGATCTTTCCTTACTGATAATACTCAAATTATAAATATTTCTTGCGATTGTGAAATGTATGTATTTATTATGCGAATCGTAAAAGCGTAGTACCGTATCGCTTAACATAAAAACAATGACGAACGAACAATTCGCGCGTTTTACGTCATTGTGTCGAAGAAGTTAACATTTCGATTAATCGTGTCAGACAACATGGAATCAACGAAAGGAAAAAAAAGGTGATGGTCACGGGATCCCATTCTATCATATTGCAAATATAGGTTTCCAATTGATGAGATATTTCTTCATCGAATCTCTATCGAACAAAATCTGTACGCAATCTATGTTATTACAAAGATCCTAACATCACAGTCAAAAAATATAGTACTATGCGATAAACAAACACGTTATACCGCTCGTCAGGTAACTCATTCATCAATAAAGATATACTATAGTAAGCAAGGAAGAAAATGACCATAGCAATATTTCCAGGTCTAAATTATGCCCGTTTTGTTGTCCAATAACTTGTTTTCACGATTACCCTTTCTCTCCCCTTCCCTCTATATCTTATCACATACGACGACAAACAATTTATGCTGCTCCTTCAAACGTCGCAACAATAAATCAATCTAATTCGAAGCATTCGTCTCATAAGAAACAACATTGGAAAATGTTTCTTCGTTGTTGGTAATATCTCTGAAAGCATTCGCCGTAAAAATTCAAAATCCCATTTCGACGAGAAACTCCAATATCATATTGCAACGAAATGGGAATATTAGTACATTCACACATTATGTGTCACGCGAAAAAGAAAGAACACGATTGGAAATTACTTTGTTGTTGGCAATTATAACCTGCGCATGTACGAAACGCAGTACCGAACTAGTCACGCGATCTATATATCGTTTAATTAACTACTTAATGCACTTCATTTGGATTGATATGATTTTACGTATCGTATATTTTCCAAGTTAACTGATTAATTCGTTAAAAACAAACGGAAATGAAACTTCCTTTATTCGAAAGCGTAATTTTTTTTGCTTGGATATTTTATGGAAATCGTAAATGAAATTGGAAAGTTTACTATAAGATTATACCAGAACATACTATGTTTTGCCAAGACATGAGATCTTTTTATACATGTGCTATAATGATCATAAAATAATGGATAGTATAATTATAAACCAGATTTTGTAATAATCAGATAACCAGTAATATTAGATATTTCCTTCTTATAATTGCAATTTTTAATAATAAGTTTGTTGATATTAAATCATATTAATTAATTGATTATTATTCAAGATTAACTCAAATATTTGAAAATAAAACAAAATGCATGAAATAAAATTTAAAAAAATATTAAAAGATAAATAATTATATCTACGATTATAACCAAATTATAAATTTTTATATTTTAATAATTAGAAGTATTGCAAAAGATTTATTATTTCATGTTATAATGTATCATCTAACAAAAATATTTATTTTTACTTCATTGATATCAGTGATTTAAATTTTATCTAATATATTGCATGATTATTTTTATGACTTAAATATAGCCATATGACTTAAAAATATAGCCAACGCGAATCATTGTAATTATGAATTTAAATTTAAAATATTAAAATATTGTAATAAACGATTCTATTGATGAATATTTTAAATGATTGTGTTAAAATTCGTTAAAAAAAACTCAATTTTTTTGTTTTCCAAAAATAAATAAATAAAAGGAAGCAAATTTACTTTTGATCGAAATAAAAAAATCGAATTGAATATTGATCTAAATTTTCAATGGTCTCTGATAAAAATCTGTTACATTTAATTTTCAATGACTTAGAATATTTTTAAAACACACATCGAAAAATATGAACAATTAACAAATCACAAGATAAAATTTTCTATATTATATAACTTATTTAAGAGAATTTTTTTTAATTCATTTCTCATGTTTGTATCCTATAAATCATTTTGATTTTTTTTTAAAATTGTTCTCCTCGCTTAACCACGTGATGGAACATTATATTCATGCAACATTATATAACGAGAAATTTTTCTGTTGTCAGGACGGCCGAAAGAGGCAGTGGAGACAGGGATGGACGAAAAAATTAAGATAATCTATTGCTAATCTTATGATAATTTGAAGATTTGATTATCAAAATTAACAGAAAAAAACTATGATGATAATGAATAATTAGAAAAAAATCTGAAAAAATAGTCAATTATTGAGAATATA